GGTATTTTGTTTCGTTTTATGAGCTCAGGTGGCTTGGTGATAAAGAATTGCACTGCCAACACAAAGGTATGTGGTTCGAATACACCAGCTGCTCCATGGGATTTGTTACCTCTAGAGGGTCAGCTATGGGTTGGTTCCAACTCTAAGGTACTGAACAACATATATAAAGATATATATAATGCTATAATGATATATATGTGTGTACATATATAATATATAAAATATATATATAGTGCTATAATTATATATATGTGTATATATAGTGCTATAATTATATATGTGTATATATAGTGCTATAATTATATATGTGTGTGTATATAACACATATATACATACACACAACACATATATACATACACACACACATACATATATGTTGTTAAGTGCCATTGAGTGGAATGATCCTATGAACAGTGATCTGAACCCTTGCCCCATACTGTGCCATCCTCATCATCTCTGACACCATAGAGTCCACTGCTGAAGTTTCTGTGTCAATCTATATCTTGGGAGCTATTTCTCTGCCTTCACTGACCCTCCATCTTTCCAAGCATGAGGTCCCTTTCCAAGGAATAGTCTTGCCTAGCTACATGTTCAAAGTCGAAGCTTTGCTATCATAGCCTCCAAGGAGTATTTTGGCTTCACTTTTTCTAAAATTTATCTGTTCTTTTGGCAGTTCATGAGGGTGGGGAGATATACACACACACACACACACACATACATAACACTTCATAGGAAATAGATGAGAGAGAGAGAGATGATGTGGATCTCTGGTGGTCAAGTGGCACGGTAAGGAGTCACAATGCCAAACCAAAATCACATGATTCTAATCTACCAGCTGCTCTACAGGGGAAAAGATGGGCAGTCATCTCCCATGCAATTTACTGCCTTTAAAAACCTAGGGTCAGCTAGGAGTCTATTCTGATTATTATATTTATTTATGAATCCATTTAAAGATTTAATTGCACTAGAGATTTTAGAAATTAACTTATTAATATGTTTTCTTAAGAAAAATAGTTGTCAAAATTTCAAATGCCACTGAATAATACATTTTTAATTAGATGCTATTTTTTTTTAAATCGCCAATAAATACTATAAAAGCAGAATTACATAATATACAAAATGATGCTTATGGTAAAACTAAAGCTTTTTTGGTATGTTTGTTGTTGTTATGTGTCGTCGAGTCGCTTGTGACTCAGCATGTTGGTATGTTTAGTAAACGTTTATTTTTTTAATACAGGCAGGACTATGTGTGAAAGAAACTTAATGTTGTGAGTACTATTTTAATTCTTTAGCACATCAGTAAAATTAGCTTCTAAATACATTTAAAACCACATTGTAAGGTGTCACATTTACAGGTGAAACTTTTCACATTTCTTTTTCTGTTTTTCTAGATTATATGATTGAGGGTAAAGGCTAATTCCTGGTTCGTTCGTCTTTGTATTCTCCGTTGTGCTTTAAATTTAAGCTACCCAATAAATATTATGACATAAATGAGCAAAGTCTTCATATTTTATTGTTTCCTGATGATGTATTTCATCGGGAATTGCAATAATAACCCAAAGGTAGTTCAAGTTCTCCATTGGCCCTGTAAAAGATGGGCAGTCTACTTCTATGTGGTTCACAGCCTTGAAAACTCAGTGGAGATGGTTCTGACTCAATGCCAATGAGTTTTTAAATATATTGCACAAAGTATATATTAACTTTCTGGGTGTTTTGTGACTTTATTTCCCTCAGAGAAAGTACTTTTTGTTATTGTAATGTAACGTTAAGGATTAGGGTTACTAGAAAAAGAAAATATTTTAAAAATATACCACACAAATAAAGAACAACTTTCTTTATTCTTGATTTTAAGAAATATTCCTCCTGACTTTTTGTTACAGTGTAGTTATTTTGCTTATTATGCAAATACACATGAACTAGTAAAAGTTAAAGAAGAACTGGGGGGAGGGCGTAAAACCATTATAGAAGTATCTTTTGGCCCCCAGCGGCCTCTGCCCAACAGCAACGAAGTTACACTTTCCATTTAGTCAAGACAGGGCCTAAATTATTGTTTTATTATAAAAGAATCATGTTCCCTTGTGTACATTAAACAAAAAAAAAGGCAATGTCGGAATTAAATGGGAATAAAACTTGTTTGAAAATCTGGGGGGAAAAAAAGAAAGTATCTTTTGAAGATATCATTTTGCAGTCCTGTTACTATAATCTTAAGAAATCTTCCAATTTTGACTGAAAATATCAGTTTCTCTGAATACCTTTGAAAGACTTTGTCTTTCCTGATTTTCTTCTTTTTAAGCTTTAATTTCATATGTTCATTTAAGTTATTTTAAAAATATTATATCACTACTTAAACTTTATAAGAAACTTTTTCTTTAGAAAATGCTCCTAGTTAATGAAAAATTACTGCTTCTTTTGCATAGCTGTGATTAATAATATTGGAGAATTCAGTTATTTGAACATTGCCATACCACTGGCTGTGGAAGTTCTTCAAGCTCAGTGAATTTCAAGATAAAGACACAAGGCTAAGCTCTAGGGAGCCTGTGATAGTTTCATACAACCCATCTTTATGTCAGGTACTTCCTTTCTGAATTGAACTTAAATATGTAAAACAGTAAATTAGATTTCATCCTGCCCCGGTTAAGAGTTTTCAACAGATGATCTAAGAATAATTTTGATAAAAGTAAATGGACACTCTTTCATTATCCCTCCTCTTAATGTTTTCGTTCTTCTATAATAAAATAGAAACAAGCAAGCTTGTGTTTAGGAAGGTAATATAAAATTATTGAAGAAATTATTTTTATACTTGGAGATAATGTCCATAAAACATTATCATTGACAATCTTCATAGTATCTGTGTTAATTTTCCAAGGCTGCTGTAACAAAATACCACAAATATGTTGCCTAAAACAGGAGGGATTTATTACATCATAGTTCTGAGGAATAGAAATCCAACACAAGGTGTCAGCAGGACCGTCTTCTGTCTGAAGGCTCTGGGAGAAGCTCTTCCTTGCCTCGTCTTTGCTCCTGGTGGTCCCTGCAGTCCCTAGGTTTTTAGATGTCTACCTCGGTCTCATATCTCCATTCTCCACCTCCATCTTTAGCCAGCCATCTTCCTTCGTAGTCTCTGTGTCTTCTTTTTTCACAAAGACAGCACTTAAAAGGCATTAGGTTCATAAGCCTTATAGTAACTACCATGGTGTGATTTCATTTCCAAACAAGGTCATATTCACAGATTCAAGGGATTAGAGTTACAACGTTTCTTTTTCACAGACACAATCAGTCCATAACAATGTATTTTAAGTATTTTTTTCTTCTCTTTGATTTTTCACTAGAACCTTAATCCCAAATTTGTTTAAAAAAAAAAAAAGGAAAGAAAAAAGATACAACATATCTTGATCTTTTAACTGTTTTTTGGTGGGTTTTTTTTTTAATTTCCAGAGTAATGTCATCCTGCTGTTAGACACCATTAGCCGGGCTCTTCGTCGTCTCATCCTCTCTTCAGAAGAAGATACGTCTAAAAGATCTTCATGGTGGAACAAGGAGACTGTAAGCAAAACTAGACTCATCTAACAAATCGCTAAATATTTCCCAGAGCTTTCTAGCCATAAAAATGCATGCCAGAGCCTTTTTTTGGATATAATAGACAAAGAAATTCTTTTAGAGCATACATTTATATATAATAATAACCATTCCTAACATAAAACCCAAAGACACAATCCAAGTCACTAGCAATGTTGATCCCAGCTCATCGTGACCCGCCATTGCCCTCCTCGGGTTATAACTCTTAACAGGAGCAGACTTGGTCATCTTTCTCATTCAGAGCAACTGTTGGATTTGAACTGCTGGCCTTTTAGTTAACACCCCAACATGTAACATTGACTTGGCTCCTTGACTATGTCAGTGTGTGTGTGTGTGTGTGTGTGTGTGTGTGTGTGTGTGTGTAGCTTAATTTTAATATTGTGCCCATCATATACACATACGTAATTGCCAGAACTGATCTAGTAACAGTGAAACATTATTCATTATTTGAATATTATATTCATTAACAAATTTATCATTTTCAGTGAATTTAACCAGCTTTTCAGTTACCTATCTATGTTTTGAGATATTCTGGAAAACTAATGTATAAGACACCTAATTATATACAGTAGGTAAAAACTGTAAACAAATATTTTAGGCCAACCCATAAGAGATTATTTGTACCAACTAATGAGAGACTTCTACCCTGTCAAACTTATTGCTATGATCAGAATCAATTCATTGATAAGAGTTTGATTTTTTCTTTCTTTTGCTTATGTCACAGTTAATCAAAGGATATTTCTAACCAATGTTAGACATTATTTTTAAAAGTTTTAGTCAAAACATAGTTCACAGATAATTTTGAAATATATTTTTATCCTAAGGGACTTGGTATACTTAAACAATGGCTTCTCTAAGAATTACATGTTGAAAAGGGAGCTCTGGTGGCCTAGTGGCAAGAAGCTGCACTGTAATCCCAGATGTACACAGTTCAAATCCACCAGATGCTCTGCTGGAGAAAGAGGGGCAATCTCCTCCTGTACCAGTCAGATCCGATTTGATGATACACACACACAAAATAATAAAATAATAATAATAATAATAATAATAATAATAATAATAATTTTTAAAAAAGAATTACATGTTGAATAACTTAATGGAAGGGACAGCAGCTGAAGAGACATGCATGTATCTGACAAATTTAATGTGAATATTTGTTTTGTTTTGTCTTTAGGAAATTTATAAAATGTGTAAAGAGTTTTCACACAAAAACTGGCTTGTATTCTATAAAGAAAAAGGGTAAGTTATCAGTTTAAAAGATTAAAACTGTTCTTCCTATTTCCTGCTTTTAAATTTGTTATTATAGTTAACATATAGTTAACCAAAAGGTCGAATGTTCAAATCCACCCAGAGATAGTTTTGGAAGAGGGCTATAAATCTACTTCCAAAAAATTAACTTCAAGTATGTGTCACATAACACTCCTTTTACCAAAGTTCAGCTGCATATGTGTCTATCATCCCAGAATTCGATTTATTTATTTTTTTTATGGAAAAACAACTCTCTGTTTATTGATTAATTTTCCCTGATGATTTTAAAAACCACAAATTGAGACTCTTGCAGCACTGGACCAGAAATTGGATCTAGGCAGGCAGGTGAGTCTGAGGACATGGATGTAGGGAAGGGCTCTCAGGTTTTGTTGGGTGCATGGGTGGCATGGCAGATATGGGGCCAGGCTGCTTCTGTTGTGCCGGTAAGTGGAGTAGTGGGTGAGGCTGGCCGTGCTGTGTTCCCTCTAACTCCCTTCCTCTCACACCTCACCTGTGACCAACCTCTAAGTGCTCCTGCACTTGTACTGCTGGTTCCCAATCCTCCAGCATGTCCAGCAGCAGTAACTGAAGCAGCAACAGTAAGGAACATAGCTCGAAGCTGAATCCCATGTGTTTTTAATATAGTGTTCACGTAAGTCAGCGTTACAGAAAGCCCTATTTCACAGAACATACCCTGGATACTGAGTGATGCACACCTGAATTGGAAACCCTGGAGAGCAGAGTTCTCATCTGGCACACATGGGGTCCCCGTGATTTGTTGGAGTTGACTGAATGACAATTATAAAATTCATGTAACTAAATTATAAGTGTTTTCCTGTAGCATTAATTCATCCCACACTGTAGAACTATTAAAAACAATAGTGGAGTTGGGAGTGCTTTCTTTTATGTCTGTTTTTAATTGTATCTCTCTTCAATGTTTCATCTTATGCAGGTCCCTCGGAGTTTGAGGTCATGAATATCTGTTTTTACAGTTTTTAGTGTACCTCTCCTTAGCTTTTAAGGCATTCCTTCTAAGAATTGAATTATGTACCGCCAAGTGATTGTGATGTCCTCAGCCCTGATCTTTACCCTTTTTTATCAGAGTTTTGGGGTTTTTTTCCTTTGCCTTTTGCAGGAATAGCCTTACCGTGCTGGATGTTCTAGAAGGCCGAGCTCACACCATCTCGCTTCCCATTACCCTCAAGACAGTTTTCCTTGTAGCAGAAGACAAGTGGCTTCTGGTGGAGAACCAGACAAACCAGTGAGTGGATCTAGCCAGTGCTTCATAGACTGGACTGTAGCTCAGACTTCTCTATCACCCAGCATCATGTGTTCTGCCTTCCTCATGTCTGCCCAGTATCGATGTTTGGCATCATCTTTATAGATGATTGTTAGAAGGAAAAGGAACAAAAAGACTTTCAATGTCACTTCTTATCATAATTATTAAAGTGCTAAATAGGAAGAAGCTGAAATGAACAGTAAAAACCAAAAATTACTTTTATGTATGATCCGTGTTTATTAAAGCTTTTTCTATTACCACACAGGACATTTACTTGATTTTTACCAACCTGAAGATGAAAATTGATTTTTAAATTTAGCTCCCCTTCATAAACCAGCCTCTGTTTGAGAGCTGTTTTGCTGTTTGGGGTTTTGAAATTTTATAGACTATCCCTTGGAATATTCTTGGTGCCTCCAAGGAGCTCTGGTGGCTTAGTGGTAAGAAGTTATAGTATCATCCCAAAAGCACTCAGTTCTAGCCAGATGCTCCCAAGGAGAAAGATGGGTATTCTCTTCCCATGCAATTGACTGTGTCCGGAGCGTGAGCTATAATCCATTCTGACTCTGTGGTCCATAGCAACAACAACATCAACATCCCTTGAGAATTTCTTCTTCCTTTTATCATATATGTTCTTATTAAGATGTGATTGTGTGATCTCTCCTATTGGACTGTAAATTTCTTCATGAAAGGAACATTACCGAGTACTTGGCATCTAGTAAGAGATCAAAACACAAAAGAAGCTCAAATTCATTGCCATTGAGTTTGAACTCATAGCTGACCCTCTAGTGGGTTTTCAGAGGCTATAAATCTCATAGGAGGAGATTGCCCATTTCTCTCCCGTAGCCCTGTTGGTGCATTCAAATTACCAGAGAGGTGCCACCTTTGGGTTGGTAGTGTATACCTCCCTGTGGACACTAGACTTCCCCTGAAGGCACCAAAGATGGACTTCTTGCTAGAGGACTGGGAACTATAAAGGGGTATGCCATGAATTTTGAATTCCCTCACCACCCTATGTGCTACTTTGCACTAGTTAAGTGCAAACTCTCCCTCCTCTGGTGATGAGGAAAGATAGTCTGGCACAAAAGACTTCTGACTCTTTGTATAAACTTATGTTAGAGCAGCCCTGGTGGTGCAGTGCTTGTGTGCTCTGCTGCTAATTATAAAGTCAGTAGTTCAAACCCACCAGCTGCTCCATTCCTCCAGAGAAAAGTGAAGCAGTTGGCTTCCATAAATATTCTAAATCCTATGGCACAGTATGGCCCTGTAGGATCACTGTAAGTTAAAGCCAACTAAACAACAATGAATATATTTGGAAACTTAAAAACAAGTAAATCAGGGAGGCTCCAGTAGTGAGGGCTCTAATCCTCTACCAACTCAGAAATGAGGCACTTCTGTTGGTTGACACAACAGTCACATAAAGGGGCAATTCAGTAATAGTAAGGAGGTGCCACACAAGTGTTGATAGGGGTTTTTTTGTTTGACTGACAGCACTCCCTCTCTTTTAAAGTGTTGGATTTTGAATTCACGTCTATTCCTACATCATTTTAGTTCCCTGTTTTGGTTGTTGTTGTTGTTGAGACGTCATTGCTAATTCATGAAGAAATCATGAACTAGAACATTCTACCCAGAGTATAACAGACTTTGAGGAAAGGATAAACTGTATTTAGTTTAAGCTCGCAAATAATAGAAAAGGATCTGATTTTTAACTCACCTTAAGTATTTTTGGTGTTGAGGGCTTTTTTTTTCCTGTTTACAGGAAATATCTCTTAACCAAACCTGCACACATGGAATCTGAGGATCGTGGGGTTTGCCAGCTGCATGTGTTGAAAGAAGAGCTGCCGAGCCCCGGGTTTGGAGTTACACAAGGTCAGTACCGTGCGCTCTGTGCTGGTGTCTGCGTGGGCGTGTGCTTGTGCACATCCCAGCGTCTCGTCCTCTCATCGCCATGGCATCAGCCGTAGTTACGGTTATACTGAGAGAGACCTTAGTCATCGAATTAGCTGTAGTAAATAGGAATCTTCCAGCCCTTCACATTATCCTTAGGAAACTCACGCCTATAATTGCTGTCTTTTCGTTTTCCATCTGACAAATCGGAATTTTTGCACAAATTTAGATTCTATTTTAAGTCTAGTTTCTTTGTTTTTTATAAAACATACCATTGCCAGCCCAGGGTTAGGTGGTTTCAGATCTCTTCTATTGGGCTATTCACATAATATTTATTTAAATTTTAAATGCTATAAGTTCTTGGAATCTCTTTGAGATGGTGTCTTTGATTGTGAAAATTTACTTTTCTCAGATGAAAACCCACAAATACAATTTACCTTGTGGGTTTTTTTCCTCCTTGTCTTGGTGAGAATTAAATCTTGCAAAAAAGTACTTGCTGGAGCATTTGAAGGTCGTATATAGTATCTAAATTTGTCTGACTTTTCAGAAACAGATCTCAGCATACCTCATATCATTTCAAGTGATCAACTCTCATCTGAAAATCTGAGTTCAGCTGTGGGACAAAAGATAGCTTCTCCTAATCGAATCCTCTCAGATGATAATAGCTATGCGACAATAGTTGTTGGCTTCCCAGATCTCGTGGTGAGTACCAGATCTTTAAATGAGACTATTTCTTCCCATCAGCTGACCTATAATCTGTAAATCTGTTCTTTCTCTCTCTCTCAATGTCCTTGAGTTGGAGCTGACTCATAGCTGACCCTCCAACAGGTTTCAGAGGCTGTAAATAGTATGGGAGGAGATTGCCCATCTCTTCCCACGGACCAGCTGGTGGACTTGAGCTGCCCACCTTTGGCATGGCAGCACAACTTTTTATTCACTTGGCCACACTTAAGTCTGTTTGAAACTAATTAAAACAGTAATGATTTTTATTCGTAAGTGTTTTTATAGAAGATCATCAGGATTAAGTGTGTAATCCAAGTCACTCATAAAAATTATGCTTTCTACATAGTTGTGTTACTTTTAAAATTAACATTTAAACTGTATTACAACTATAAAATTTAGTAAGGAAAATATAGTATTTGCCATATGTAAGAGATCTTCATAAAGAAAAAAAATACCTTCCAGCTGCTTCAAATAAGTGGCTCAAAACAGGAGACTCTCAGGCAGAACCCAACCGACTTTTAATCACAAAGGCTCACCCACTGGGTCCCGACTGGTTTAAACAAGAAGCTTCTATCCTACAACTGATTGCTTATTAAATCAAAACGAACAAAACAGCTTACTACTGATTGTTAACGAAATCAAAACAGCTTACCTTCCAGAATCCAACTGCTTCAAATAAGATGCTACAAATAGGAAACTCTCAGGCAGGACACAAAAACTTGAATCACAAAAGCCCTCATACAGGGTCTGATTGGCTTACACAAGAGGCTTCCATACCATAACATTGTTAATTAAATCAAAACAACCACACAGCTTAGAAAACAAAGATTCTTACCACTGGACTAATAAGCAACATCATGATGATGGAGAAGAAGCTGAACTGTCAACAATTTCACCTTACTTGAATCCACAATTAACACCCTTCATACTAGCCCTCAGGAAATCAGATGTTTTGCACTGGGAAAGCTAGAGTTCTCTCCAAATTATTGAGGAATTAAGTCAGTTTGAGAACTGAGGTGCATCTGACTAAGGGCATGGTCTTTCTGATCACTTGCTATGCATCTGAGAGCTGGCAAATGAATCGGAATGACAGAAGAAGAATTGTTGCCTTTAAGCTGTGGTGTTGGAGAAGATCACTGAACATCCCATGGACTGCAAAAGAACAAATAATATCTTTTGAGAGGCTGCAACCAGAGTACTCTTTGGAGGCAAAAGTGATGAGAATTTAAAAAAAGAAAGAAAGAAAATGATGAGGCTTTGCCTTACAAACCTCAGGCATGTTGCTGGGAGGGGCTATTCCTTGGAGAGAGACATGATGCTTGGAAGGATAGAGGGTCAGCTAAGGAGAGGAAGACCTTTGACCAGATGGATTGACATGGTGACTGCCATGTGGGCTCTAAATGTGTCAGGAAGTGTGAAGACGGCACAGGATAGGACAGGGTTCAGAACTGTTTGTTGTTCATAGGGTCGCTATGAGTCATACTCAACTCCACAGCACCTAACAACAACAACAAAAAGAGTTCTTCAGACATAGTTAAATGCTTCACCTGTTGATGTTGATTTTGTATCATGTTGTCTTAATGTGAGTACATTTATCAGTGAAAAAACAATCTGAGACGAATAACATAGCAAGAATCTTTTGCAGTTTCATTTACAACAGTGTCATTACTGGCGATTAAGGTTTTCAGCGTTCATGAAAGTCATTTCACTTTTCACTTGAGTTTTGCTCTAATTTAGCATATCTTTGCAGCATCTAGATTGTACTAGAAAAGGTCATCTTCAAAGCTTATATCTTAAATTGGCCTTTGTGCTGCTATCTGTAAAGGAAGGGAAATTCCTAGTGGCATCAGGTGAAACCAGTTGCCATCTTCCCTGGATGGAGAAAGTGTGGGAAGTGAACTTTGAGGTTATTTCAGTTCAAGTTATTATCTAACAACCTTAGCTGTAGCATCATGTGCTTTGACTAAACATTTAATTTTTATAATTTCTTTTATAGTTTTTAGATTGGATGATAGGATCTTTTAAAGATAAAAAACAACAACAACTGGGTTCTACCTGGAAATTTTAATGTGATTAATGAACTGTGAGTACTTCAGGGTATGAGAAATTTGAAATCCAAAACCCTGAGGATAAGATGGGTTTTAGGACTTTGTCATTTGCTTTTTAAATTATCAAGAAAAAGTAGTTCTTATAGTATTATATTACTGAAAGTAAATCGTGTTTTTGGAATAAGATATCTACATCAGGCTTGACTGAATGTTTAATAAGCTCTCTATAACATGTGCTTCTCTTAGGAGGGAATACTGGAATTACTTTTCTGTGTGGAACTGCTAAAATAATTACTCTCCTAATCCATTTTTTCAGGTTAAAGAAGGTAGTATAGCAATGTATATTACTATTAAAAAGTTACCTAAGGTACATACACTGTGGAAAACGCTGCAGTGGTTCCTCAGAAGCTTAAATATAGAATTCCTCTCATAGAAATATATCCAGAAGAATTGAAAGCAGGAGCACAAACATACTTGTACACCAGTGTTCAGTGACCGTTATTCTCAATACTCAAAAGTTGTAAACAAGGCTTCTTTTCTCCATAGAAGAATGGATGATTAAATACGGTATATTCATACAAGTTATTATTATTAAGCTATAAAGAGATGAAATCCTGATACATGCTACAACTGTGAGAACATCACACTGAATTAAATAAGAAGGGATAAATATTATTATTATTTTACTTATATGGAATATCTAGGATAGGCAAGGGTATAGAGATCCAAGTTTATTAGTAGTTACAAAGGAGGATGGAAAGAGCAAGAAAAGGAAAACTCACGGCTAAGGAGACACTGAGCTTCAACTAAGGGTGGTGGTTAATGAATATTTGGAACAGAGAATAATAAAGTTTGGATAATAAAAAATGTCACTGAACTTTACATTTGAAGAATGTTGGGAAAGCCAGTGATTTTTCATATGATTTTTACCACAATAATTTAAAGAAAAACCAACACAACAAATCTTAGAAGAAACATAAAACTAATTCTGTTTATCAGGAGTTGGGGAAAATTGGCACAACTGAGCTGTACATTGCATAGTGATACATTCCTATATGGTAGAATTTTCTAAGTAAATCAAGAGCAAATTAACACAAAATTCCACAAATTTTAAGACAAGGGTGACAGACAGGTAAGTGATTATACAGGAGAATTCAGGGACTTCAAAAATACTGGTAATGTTCTCTCTGATATCAGCTAGTAAGTGGGTAAGTGTTCATTCTATAATGTTTAAACAAGCCATAGTCTTTGCTTTTTGTTGTTGTTGTTGTGATTTGTTTCAAAATTAAAAAAGAAATGTTTATTTTGCAATTGTCTGTGAATTGTGATTATTGGGGAGCCAGCACTCTCCTGTATCAAATTTTAAAAGGTTAAGAAATAATGTAATATTTTTATACCCATGAAAGACAAGTCTACCTCTTGTAGCTTTTTAAAAAGCTGCATTATAAGTTATGATGAATGTAGCATATAGAATTTTAGTACTTCAATATCTCTTTACTGTCTGCCCTTATTTTCCACTCACCCGTCCCTATCTCCCTCTCTCCCTCCTTCTCTTATTCTCTCTCTCAATATCTCTTTCTCCTCCAGTCACCCAGTGAAGTTTATTCTTGGAAAAGACCATCATCTTTAAGCCAACAAAGTGTCACTGATAGAGGAATTTATGGCGGAAGAAAGAAGAATCCTTCTCCAAAACAGATTAATTGTGTGACTCTTTTAGACAGTAATCAGATAGTCAAGATTTTGCCCCCAGGAGAGGTCCCTCTGAAAGATATCTTCCCAAAAGGTAAGAAACTTCTCAATTCCTAGCTTATCAAGATGCGTAAAAGTAGCTTCCTTTTGGTTAGTGTTGCTGTGTTGTTAAGAGTCAGAACCAACTCATAGCTGACTCTCAGGCAGGTTTTCAGAGGCACTAAATCACATGGATGGAGACTGCCCATCTTTCTCCCATTGAACAGCTGGGAGACCTGAACCACCTGCCTTTGGGTTGGCAGCATAACTCTTTACCCGCAAGGCTATCCGGGTGCCTGCACTGCTGTTGAATTGATTCCATCTCATAATCACTCTCCGTCAGCTTTCCAAAGCTCAAAAGCTTTACAGGAGGAGACTAGCTATCTTTTTTCTGAGAAGCAGCTGGTGGATTTGAAACACTGAGCTTTCCATTAGCAATGCAACACATTATACACAATACAACTAGAGCTTTTAGGTGTATACTCTGTTGTTGCTGTTGTTAGGTGCCATTGAGCCAAGTACTGTCCTGTCCTGTGCCATCTTCACCATCTCGGACACACTCAGGCCCATGGCTGTAGTCACTGTGTCAACCCACCTGGTCTTCCTCTCCTTTGTCATCCCTCCGCCTCTCCAAGGAATAACCTCTCTTAGCAATACTCCCAAAGAGAGAACGAAGCTTAATCATCCTTGCCTCCAAGGAGCACTCTGGCAGCTTGTTCTCTTCGCAGTCCCTGGAATATTCGGCACTCTTACTCAACACCACAATTCAACCTTTTATTAAATGAATCTCTAAAAAGGGTAAAGCTTTCATAAAGATGGTACAATTTTGTTTAATGCACAGGAGGGGAATTTATTGCTTTCTTCCAATTCTCTTTCTCCCAGGTAAGGATTAACTTTTTTCTTCTTCAATTACACACTTCCACTCATTTAACCCAAAATAATGATCCTTGATCATAAGTAATATAGTTGGATGGGTTTGTTAAAAAATATATAGTACAAGGGGAGCTCTGGTGGCCTAGTGGCAAGGAACTGCAACTACAATCCCAGAGGCGCATGGTTCGAATCCACCAGATGCTCTGCCAGGAAAGGAGGGACAATCTCCTCCTGTACCAGTCAGATCTGATTTGACGGTACACTCACAAAATTAAAAAAAAAAAAAAAAAAAAAAAAAATATATATATATATATAGTACAACCAAAGAAAATTCCAGATTAGAAGGATAAAGTTACCCAGCACACAGCAGGCATTTTGTCTGTTAACAGTTGAAAGGAACTAAATCTTGTTGTTAACATATGAACATCAAAGTTCACTTCTGGAAGAAGTGTATCTTTTAAAAATAAAAGAATATTACCTGTAAAAATATTTGTGGTGGTTTTGTCTAAACTCCTAGTCTTCCCACATCCTCCTGAGATATAAACTGTTCATCAAAACCTCCTAGTCAACACAGGCTCAGTCACTTCCCTTTCAGAGTTAATGAGTTAATCCCTACATGTAGTTTATACCATTGCCAGGGAGCTCTCATAGTTACATGGTAAGAAATTGTGCTGCTGCGGCAAAGGTGTGCAGTTTCAATCCCCTAGAGAATGATGGGCACTCTCCTCCTGGGTGATATACTGCCTCTGAGAACCTGCTGGAAGCGTAGCTAGGGGTCAGTTCTGACCCGATGGTACACACTACAACAACCTGTCTTTGAAATCCACCTGGAGTATAAATCTAGTGGGAATTTACTGAGCTTCCTTCCTCTCCGCAATGCATCGAAACATTGAAAATAGACAGGCAAGGACTTGGCTAAACTTGGAGGGAAATCTGGCACATTCTCACTTCCTTAATTCAGTTTTACACTCTGTCCGAGAGTAGCCATCAGGCTCCTTTCTGTGAATATTCATGTTGTCTTTGCTTTCACATCAGTAAACATGAGTTTTTTTTCAAGTGCTTGCTGCTACCCCCACACCTCCAACATCCCTAGGACTCTCCTGAAGTGCTGACTGCTACCCCCACCCCCCCCAACATCCCTAGGACTGTCCTGAACTGCTTTGGAACCACAGGTTCCCTTTCCTGATAAGTGAAGATATTTTTTAGCACCAGGAATTCTTCCTTTCTCCTTCCTGAAATAGTAGAAACAACCCTTGTTGCCTTTTCTCACTTTTCTTTATGCCAGGGAATTAATTTACACTGAGAATGAAAAAAGACATGGGGAAAAGATACTTTCAAATAAGTTGACTGACTTTATTTTCCCAGTCAGTGTGCGAGTGCTGATGGCAGCAACTCAACTTAATACTACTGCTTATGACCAAAAAAAAATGTAAAAAAATGCTAGAAGTGGCAAGGCAAAATTGAGAGTTGGTTATCAAGGCCTTTCAACTCGTCCCAGCTGCTCCAGGAACTGGCCGTTTTGAGTAAAGACTCCAGCTCTATAAATAATTCAACCTACTTTAGTTAGGGCCTTGCAGCAGAAATTGTCAAAAATGATACATAGTGTAAAACTTTATCCAAGATTGACCTAATATCCCTGGCAGCACTTCCTGGCACAGGCGAGGCCTGACGTTCACTTTATACAGATGGCCGCATCCGGACTGCCAGTCCAGCCAGGTGGTCAGATGACCGCAGAAACTTTCTTCTGTTAGCCTGTGCCACCCCTGGACGTTCATCCCCTTTCTCCTGAATGCCTAAGCCCCAGGGTCCTGAGGCCTACCAGGATTCCCCATGTCCTTCAGGTCCAAAATACAGACACAGGAAGCTTCCTCATCTAGTGTGTGAGCTAGGACCCAGAGACAGGGGCTCAAAAACAGGGACTTTTCCTTTCTCTGTTTTGCATGCTTAGAAACAAATTTACACGTTTGTTGCGTAAATAAGAGTATTTTGAGTTTTTCAGATGGCCTATGAGAAATAGCTTTGACTGCAAGCATGAAATAAAGATACTAAATTTCCTGTATGGGTGGGTTTGTTTGTTTGTTTTGGTTTTTAATTTATTTATTTTTATTTTATAGTAGTTTACTGTAAAGTTTGTATACACTGTTTTTCACACTAAATCTGTCCCCTTTTCTCCCATTTGTTTTTTTAACTTCATTTAATAAATTCAATGTGAAAATCGTAGACATCTCTTTCCAATCACCAGCTGTAATAAGATAGAGATACATGCACACACATATATACTCAACATATTGCATGCATGCATACACATATATAAACTCACACAGACTCCCTGGTGTCCAGTCGATTCCAACTCAGAGACTTTTCATTGCAATTCCAAGGCTGTTAGTCTTAATAGGAGGAGACTGCACACAAAATATCTAAAGCATGACATCTGTGTAGGGGAGGTTTGAGGTTGGTCAGCTTGTTAAAGAAGTCCTCAGGGGACTAAATTCAGTGTTCCCAACTAAGGGCTAGATCAGGTAAGACAGGTCGGGAAGGGAGGGCTCCCAGCCTGGGAGGCTGGTTTTGAACCTGTCTTCGCCATCCAAACCTTAGCTTTCCTAAATGGTGAAAGTGAAAATGGCATTGTTTCTTGTCCATATTTAAAATTTTTTCTGTAAAGTCCAAGCATGGTTTCTGGCATCGAGTTGTGATTGGTAGTGGAAAAGGGATTCAGGGATGTAAACACAAATGAGTAAGCCCCAGAGGGTTCTGAGAAACCTCCTCCAGAATCGGGCATGGACACTCTCAAAAGCTCTGCCTCACTTTTCTTCTCCCCAGCCTCCCGTGTTCCTCACAACTCATAGTGCTCATCCCCCCCCCCCATCCTTACTCCTAACTTCTTTTCCTGTGTGGCAGGAATAACTAGTAATAACTGCATTTATGTGTTGAGCTATTGATGCATTTGATTCTGGTGTCAGCAAAGAATAATGAATACACCATTGACTTCCAGAAGTACAAGCAAATCTATCTTGTAGGAAGTTCAGTCCCACATGAATCCCCTGTGTAACTCTGGGGACATATTTGAAGTGCATAACTAGGTAGGAGAAGAACCTGAGGGGCAAATGACTCAGGAGGGAGGGAATGAATGCCCAGAGATGGCACAGGCTAAAGAAAGTTACTGTTCTCAGCTGGCCACTCCGCCGCATTGGGAGTCCCCAGGTGGTCATCTATATAGAGTCAGGAAACACAGTCAGGATGTTCCTTAGAAGGAAGAGTGGGGAGACTTCAGCACATGTGCTTTGAGCATGTTAATAGGAAGGACCAATCCCTGGAGACTTGGTAAAGCAAAGGGCCAGGAGAAAGAAGATACCAATGAGCTGGGTTAACACAGTGACTGTAGCAGTGCATTCTAGCACTGCATTCATTCAGCTACTCACAGCAGCACAGTACTGGGCAAGGCTTCCTGGTTCTCCATGAGTCACAGTCAGAAGCAACTCAACAGCACATGACAACACTGAATAGCTGCTAACTAGAAGCTTTGCATTATCATTCATTTCATTTACCCTCAGTATAATCTTATGATGTCTAGATGTTGTTAGCATTTTGCAAGTGAAGTAAACCAGACAGATTGTTTGACCTGTAAAGCATGGCTAGAAAACAGGAGAGCCAGGATTTCAACACTAGGTCAGTCTGACTAGGTTTTTACCTCCCACACCAAATGAGCACTGTTTCAACCTCCTAGGAAAGAAAAGCAGAACTCAGATGATGAACTATAGTCAAATAAATGATCACGCTAAAATTTTGGGGTAGCTTGGGATACTACCAAAAACAATGAACAGATGAGGAAGGAGACGGAAATTAGACTGATGGAAACACAATAGAGCAGAAACAGTGGAAATACTGACATATTATCAAAATTGTAATCACTATCATAGAGTAATTTGTAGAAAAAAAATGCTAAATAGGAACTACATTTGTTATGTATGTAAGCTTTCACTTAAACCAAAATAAAATATTGAAGCGGGGGAGGGGAGAACCAGTGTAAAGAAATCGGGGTATTTTCTGATAGAAAGAATGGTGATCTAATGTGCTTATGTTTGACAATTACGGTATTTTCTGGAGGGAAAATTACCGAATCTAACCTGAGGCTCAGCTTGACCCTGTACCTTGTCAAGTGGGCCTCCGAACCCCACCCAAGGCTCCTGATCATTTCATTCCTCCTAGTAGCATCCAGGACGAGTTCTTTTGTTCCTATTTTGTATCATGGGGTAATTTAATACTTGACTTATATCATTACTTGTTTACAGATGTTGCCCCTCCACAAGCAGCTGGTTACATAGAAGTCACTGACCTTCAATCAAAGAAACTCCGCTACATCCCAGTTCCCAGGTAGTCCATCCTCTCTGTTCTGAGCTCGATGTGCCAGATTTTATAAAGAATTGATTCTAACTACTTCTCTAAATGTGTGCATTTTGCTTCTTTAAATAGAAAACCTTTTTTGGGAGTAAAGTCGTGCTTTATAATCCAATGTGTGCCCCATATTTTACATACATTTTAGGGAAAATACCCATTTAGTTGTTATATAGATCTAAATCTAACAACTTTGATGTCAGTACTTCATTCTCTTTTGTTAGATCTGTTCTAATGATTTTTTTTTTTTATCTGAAACAGCATTTTCAGTGTTGTGGGAAGCTCAATCTTTATTAACTTTACCTATTAGTTTTCTGAGATAACTGTTATAAGAATATCAAAGGAATTTAAGAGTATTTGTTTAATATTGTTATAAAGTATGTTACCATGTGCCTGTAAGTAGTGCAGACCTTATAGTGCACAGGATTACCATTGCTCTTATTACCATGCACTGCCCAGTGGTGGGAATGTAGATTAGCTAGACCCAAGATATGAAAGCAGAAACTGTGCTCTGTGTCTGCCCTTTCATTGTATTTCTCCCTCCTTGAGGAATACAGATATCCTCACCTGTGGCCAAGCCCTTTCTAGGTGTATCCATCTCATCTCTTCACAACCAAAATATGCATCTATTCAACCCAATTATTGTCAAGTTAACTCTGACTTTCGGCCACCCCATGTGTGTCGGAGTAGAGCTGTATTCCACACGTTTTTGTGTTTTTTTTTTCTGCTTAGGTGTCAGTTCTGGTTTTTTTTGTTTTTTTTTAAATTTAGGTTTTTATTTTTCATTTCAATGAACATCTACAGAGATTTGGGGATTCCATTCATTCATTGTTGCACCCTTCTTCCCGCACAAACCCCTCCCCCCTTCCCCCCCCCATTTGCTCCTCTCCTTGAAAAGCAAAAGAAAAACTCCCTCATTGGTACACAATCCACCCCCCCCTGCCCGCACCTCCCCAAACCCCACCCCCTACCCCCAAATATAATCCACTCTGCAACCCTCATTGCATACTCCTACGATAAAAATAATGCCCTAAAATATACAACACGTTTTTTCAATGGCTCATTTTTCAGAAGCAGATTATCAGGCCTTTTATTTTGATCTCCATTGGGTGAACTCCAACTTCCAGCCTTTCAAATGATGGCAAAGCTCATTTGCATACTATTTCTTTCCCCTTCCTTTCTTTGTCTCCTACCCCTATCCAGATCAACCCTCCCTTCCTCTACTCTTCCTCCTCTACTATGACCAAGGTTGACATCACATTCGCTTTTCCCAAATACACTCTTAAAAGACACCTCCCCTTATGAGACTGAGTTAGTTCACTCAGCATAATGCTCTCCAGACTCTCCAAAGTTATGTATTATTTTTCAAAATTGTTGTTCCTGAGTGCTGCATAGTATTCCATTGTGTGAATGCACCATAATTTCTCAATCCATTTGATTGTGGTTGGACGTTTGAGCTGTTTCCACATCATCTTGTGATGGTAAATAACATTGCTATGAACATGGTTTACAAATCTCTGAGTCCAAGTTCTAATTTCCTTGCTAGTAGTGAGTTAGCTGGGTCATATGGAGTTTCTGTGTTCAGTTTTTTGAGGAAATGTCAAACTACCTTCCAGAGAAGTTGTACCATTTTATAATTCCACCAACAGAATATGAGAGTCCCCACCTCTCCACGTCCTCTCCAACATTTATTGCTTGCTGCCCTACCAAACTTTGCCACTGATACTGGAGAGAGATGGTGTCTTATTGTGGTTTGGATTTGCATCTCTCTTATTGCGAGTGATTTTGAGCATTTAATTGTGTATCTTTTGGCCATCTGACTGTACTCCCCTATGAACAGAGTGTTTTGTGCTTCAGTAGCTGTGTTTAGTATCAACTAAGGCGTACCGAGAAAAAGAACAGATCAAAATAGCTTTGATTTATTCATTAGTACATTATAAGGATTTGTGTAATATGTAGTAGTATTGTGGTTTTCTCAAATACAGATATTTTTATTATCTGAACAGTCCATCTCTTTAAGTCATTTGTGTCATACTAGAAATAAAAGTTTTCCTTTGAGAGGCATTTTTTGTACTCTGTTACTTTTATATTGTCATTGTTGCCATTGAGTTGATTCTGACTCCTGCAATCCCATTTGCATAGAATAAAATTTAGCACACGATTTTCATGTCCAGGAGAAAGAAAGGTAATCTCCTCCCATGTGATTAAACTGCCTCTGAAAACCCACTGGAGGATCAGCTAAGAGTCAGATCCAACTCAATGGTACACAAAACCAACAATAAATGGGTTTCTAGGGTGTTACCTCTCAGAGACAGATCACCACACTTGTCTCCCAAGGTGGATTGTTACCTGTGATGGACTCAAACTACCAACCTTTCAACTAATAGTCAACAGAGGTAAAAGATACAGTTGGTACTTCTGGAACCCTGAGTTTAAAGAAAAAAGAAAGAAGTGGTTCAAATACCAGCAGAAAGAAGAACCTGGAAGAAAACATCTTGTAAGGAGACTAACAACATCACTCCAAAACAGAATCAGACATAGAAAGGGACAAAGGAAGATAAACTTCAGAATATTCAAATTCGTTGTTATCCTGTCAGAGTCAATTCATAGCCGACCCCCCAGCAGGTTGCTGAGGCTGTAAATCACACAGGAGGCGCTTGCCCTTCTTTCTCCCTCAGAGCCAATGGTGGAGCTGCCAGAGGCAATCCAACGCTTGGTGAATTCTGCCTTTGAGTCACCAGCACCACTCCTTATGGGCTATGCTCCCAGAACTCCCCAAAATAAACTTATGATACTAAAAATAAGGAACCCAAAGCATCAGTCCATAAGTGAGGACAGTGCAAAAACAGAAAATATGTAGTTACAGAGCTTCCAAATGGAATGTAGTTACAAAACTTCAAATGGAAACAAAGCCAAGGCAATTCCAAGATAGCTGTAACTATTTTAGACTGGGGAATAAAATAGTAACTTGTAGGGTAAGCCTCTAAGAAAACTAGTAAATCTTTCATCAAAGTAATAAAGAGGAAAAGCATTAAGATTATTTTTTAAAGAAGTTAACCTCATTGCTATCATGTAGGAACCAACTCATAACTGACCCTGTGCTGGGTTACTGAAGCTGTAAATCACGCAAGAGGAGATTGCCTGTATTTCTCTCTCAGAGCTGCTGATGGATTCGAACCACCAAAGAGACAGGGCCTTGAGGTGAGCAGCACAACTCCTGATGGACCACAATTCCAGAGCTCCTTTGTAAGTCCTACAGACTTAGAAAGCACTAAAGTAACAGCAATGATGAGAAAAGTCATAAACAAAATGAACTTAGCAGAGTAAAGGAGATGAAACAAAAGAATTAGCAATGCCATAAAAAAGAATACAGCTACACAAAAATAAACTCAAGGTGGATCAGAGACCTGAGAGTCAAGCCCCAAACCATAAAGTTCATCAGAGACAAACTATGATCAAATTTAGACAGCCTAGTCTATGGTATAAAGAAACTGCCAGATACAGCTAGAAATGTACAGTCTGGAGAGGATAAAATTGATGACTGAGAACTTCTAAATATTAAATCCCTGTGTGCATCAAAACCTTTTTTCAACAGAGTGAAAAGAAAACCCACTGACAGGGAAAAAACATTTGGCAATACCATTCAGATAAGGGTCTCATATCAAAAGTTTACAGAATCTTACAGGGCCTCCATAAGAAAAAGCCTGAAAACATAATTTCAAAATTGGCAAAGAGGAAGATACTCGGATGGCCAACATGACAGACACATGAAGAAATGCTCAAAATCACTAGCAGTAAGGGAAATCAAGGAAGAAAATGATGTGAAATCTAAATAATGTCCTGCGTGGCTGATATATATAAATATATAGGAAGAGACTATCAAATATAACTGACAATGTGCAATCAGTAGAGGACAAACTAGACAATTAAGATCTCCTAAAAATTACTTTTCAAAAACAAAATAGTCCAAAGCATTTTATTGATTTTAACCCACTGCAACACTTAACATTTCCCGGGCTTTAAGGAAGGACACTGCAACTAATATAACACAAACGTGCGTTAAAAGACTTCTCCAAAAGAGGACCTAGAGACTGGAAAAAGATTTTTCGATGACATATCTGACAGGAGGATCATCTCTGAAATTTATAGAAAATTCCAGCACCTTGAGAAGCAAAAGACAAGCAACCCAATTACAAAATGAGAGATATGAAAAAATCACTTCACCAAAGAAGACATTCTCTCCTTCAGAGCACGTGGTGGATTCTAACCACAACCTTATTTGCTGAAACTGAGGAGAAACTAACGCATTTGAAGCATTTGCTGAAGAGGGCCAAGGACTGTAGTCTACAATATAGATTGAAGCTCAACATCAGGAAAATAAAGATTTTCACCACTGGGAAATTGGCAGCGCTATGATGGATGGAGAAGAGATTAAGGTTGTTAACAGTTACAGCTTACTTGCTTCTACAGTCAACACTCTTGGCACCAGCAGTCAGGAAATCTAAAGGAAAAATGCATTAGGGAAATCTGCTGTCAGGGACCTCTCCAAAGTGCTAAAAAGCAACAGTGTCAGTTTAAAGATTAAGATGAACCTGATGCAGGCCATAGTCTTCACAATACTTGTGCTTCAGAAAGCTGGACAATGACCAAAGAGGACAAAAAAAGAATCAATGCCTTTGAAGTATGGTGCTCAGGAAGAGTATTGAACATACCATGGACTGTTAAGACCACTAACAGGTCTGTCCTGGAGAGGGTGAAGCCAAGCTTCTTCTTGGAGGCAAGGATTTTTAGGCTCATGTTTTACATATTTTGGACATGTTGTAAGGAGGGACCAGTCCTTGGAGAAGGACATCATACTTGGATGCTTGGAAGGACAGCGCAGGAGAGGAAGACTCTAGATGAGATAGATTGACACAGTAAGTGGGATAGTTAAAGTAGGTGTTTCAGGGACAGTGAGTTTTGCCCAAGATAGAGCAAGGTTGAGAGCTATTGTGCATATGGTCACTATGAGTCGCAGGTGACTCGATGGTACATGACAACAATAACAACATTTGGGTTGACAGTGAAGATACAAATCAAAACAACAATGAGATACCATCTCATTCCAGCAACAATAGCAAATAGGACCACAAACAGAAAGTGCTGGTGGAAGTGTGGAAAAATTGGAACTTGTATACACTGTTGGTGGGTGTATAAATGGTGCAACCACTTTGGAAAGCAATTTGACACATCCTTAGAAAATTGAGTAAAGAGGTATTATTTGATCCAGCAATCTTACTACTAGGTATATTTCCTAAAAAAACAGGTGTTCTAATAGGAGCTGATATATGCTTCTTACTGTGTACCATAGTGTTCAGAACCGACACATAGCTGACCCTCCAATGGGTTTTCAGAGGCAGTTAATCACATGGGAGGAGATTGCCCATCCTTCTGCTGTAGAGCAGCTGGTGGCCTAGAACTGTGTGCCTTCAGGATTGCAGCACAGCTTCCAGCCGCTAGGCCACCAAAGCTCCACTGATATATGTTTATTGCAGTATTATTTTCTATAACAAACAGATGAAAACAACCCTAGCATCCATCAGCAGACGAATGCTTAAAGAAATTGTGGTACATTCACACAATGGAGTATTACACAACACCAAAGAATAACAAAGAATTTGTGAAAGAGCACAACATAGAGGAGTCTTGAGGGGATTATGCAGAGTGACATGAGTCAGTCACAAAAGAACAATTACAGTATGAGACCATTATTACAAAAATTATGGAAGTGTTCATACACAGATCGACTCATTCTTGGATGGTTATCAAGAATGAGGAGTGAGGGATCAGAGAATAAAAAAAATAATTAGCTAAGCCATGTGACTGCTCAGTTTGCTCGGCTCCACGGTCAACACTCTTGGCACCAGCAGCCAGGAAATCAAAAAACGTATTGCTGTGGGAAAGGCTGCTGTTAGGGACCT